CCATCAGAATACCACTTGTTTGGATTCTGCAAAATTCTTTGAATGGAAAATCGTTCAATTCGCTGGAGGACTGCAAAAAGCACATGAGTGGGATTTCCGATTTTAAGTCTGGAACCATCTATGGAAGAGGGGAACTGGAACCTACAGGAAGATGGCGAATCCTTACTGAACAGAATGGAGGATATATTGTTCAATCAATGGATTTCTTCTTCTAGGAATTTTCATTCAAAGATGAATCAAAAATCGGCGGGAACTTTTCGGACAACCCAATAATACTGTTTAGCCTCACTTTTATATGTTGGATTCCTTTCTTTTCTATTTTGTAGTCTCAGTAGCAACCTCCCCCCTGATCTTACCCTCCACTCTCCTTCTTGCTCACCTCTCCTTCCCCTTTCATGCCCCTTTGCCTATGGTGTTTGTTGATAGGGACCTCTAGTCAGTATTTTTACTTATGTAGACTGTTCTTTTCCGAAAGGATCGCGCTCCTGGATGGAGGGACTCGCACTGCGTGAGAACCTTCTCTGGAGCCTGTCAAAAAATCACATTTTTAAAGAGTCCACTACTCCCGACTAGAGATCCGTCATAATTAGGCCGAGAATTAATTACAGCATAATTATGACTTAGTAATTCTGCATGAAATCGGAGAACAAAGCCTGAATATAGCGGCTCGATAATTTACAATTTACATTGTGAACATCCGAAGGAGACCGAGGTTGAATGTGGAGAAAGCTTCAGTGGAAGATGGCTGTTCATTTCACTGATTAGAGGAAAACTAGATCATATACAAAACTAGTACATTTACTTTGTAAATAAGTTGATTTGAAGTCTTACATTGTATAAAAAGTGTGGTAAATCCTGTTAATTCATCGGTTTGGAGTTCTAGGGTCGGTCACTGCACTTGTCTTATTGTTTCAGAAGCTGATGGTGGATCAGGTTATGCTCTCAAAGAGATTGAATTTGACACCGGTGTGGTTCCGTCATCGAAAGCCCTGCCAAGGACTTCGTCGATACCATGGGTAAGTTTTACCCATACAGCTTTCCCTCGATATTCACCAAAATCACCATTTTAGACTCCGATGGGGATTGAGACGCCGATAAGAGTGACACCTGCAACACCAGAGATCACTGTTACCGTACATGATGACCGAATGGATAGCGAAGATGAAGAGAGTGGAAGTGAAGATGATGATGAATATCCGGACAAGGTGGTAGTCGCGCCAATCGCCCCTACACCTTCATATGAAGAAGTTGAACAGGAACGGCAACGACAGGAGCAATATGGGAAGGAGGTCAGATGGCTGCTGATGACCGCTGCTTATGGATTACTCAAAATTGCGTCTTCAGGTCCTCCAACAAATCCAAGCTTTTGGAGAAGCAGCTGACGATGAATTTGACGTCCAATGGGCAAAATCCACCCTGCAGAGGAGCAAAGAAAAGCGTGACGTAAGTTCCTTCTTCTGGGGTTCCCGGGTGAGCCTTAACTCATGTAAGGTTACAGGTTGCTGAGCCCACTAGTGATGTGTCCCTGATTTCCAAGGACAAAGATGACACCCTCTCAAAACAGGTTCACCACCTTTTTGATTGAGATTATTAATATTCTTGAGAGTGAAGTTTTCATTCAGAAGCATGACACACCCCTGGAAATCTCTAAGGACGAGGAACGAAAGAATCCATTCTTGGAGTCGCCGGAAGATGAAGATGTGGTGAGAGCTCCGGTCGCTATTTGTCGGAACTCATTTCCTTGGTACGACCAATAAATTTCACCCATTTCAGTCCGTTGACATGGAAGAAGTGGATGTGAACCGTGCAGCCCAGTACTACCAGAGCCATTCGTTGTTCTGCCATCGTCCTGGACCAGTTTACACAATTCCCGAAGATGCGAACGAATGCGATGGGACCATTGAGAATAGCGAAAGCCGAATGATTGGTAGGTTCAGGAGCTCTTCTGCTGGCTTATCTGGGAGAGCAATAAGGGAAGGAACTTTTCAGCTCGGGAGAAGAAACGGCAAGCAGCACGTTCGGTAGCGAACTCGATTATCGGTATGTATGGTCAACCGACAGCGATAATCACCCGTGTCACTACTACCACCACTACAGCACCTTCTACTTCGACATATACGATCATCTCACTCGGATCTGGAGCTTATAGTGAGTCATTACATCCGTTTTCCCGTTCCTATAGTCTACCTGGCATGTAGTTTACCTTTTTGAATCCCATGGGTAAACTTTCCTGACTCCCCTAAACATGGTATACGCCTGAATACCCATTCTTTGTCTGAAATGTCGAGTAGTAATCGGATTTGCATTAATCATCCGGGGCTATCCCACATGTAAAGGTAATGCAGCCTTGGCACAGCTGTGCTTAGTCCGGGGCCATTCTGTCTGAGGATATCTTGAGCACTGAGGTTTTCCTCGACGCACTGATCTAGAAGTTTTGTAGGTAGATTTAGAGAAAATGGGGAGAGTTGACTGTCTTGTCGCTCCGGGGGGACGTCTAATAGGGAGTTGTGGTTTTGTATTCTGGCGGACTCGAGCACCCTGTAGAATATGCGGCGCATCCCAAGAGATATTGATTATCGACGAAAAGCTTCTCCTTCTCTCATCATTGAATGTTGCTGTGTTCTTTGCCTAAAAAGCAGTGCAGACGTCTTTCTTTCATGTGAATCCTGAGCTATTTAAAGTTTAATCAAACAACATTCTAAAAGGCGCTTCCTGTTCTTGACTTGCGTTTGAGTTGCCACCACCCGTATAAAAAGTCCGTAGCTTCTCTCTAGGCCCACTCACTCCCACTCGTGTCAAGGCTTATGCCCCTCCTTAGCCAATCTCTCCCAATAATTCTCCCACAGTTTTGATGTGACGAAACCGAGCAGCTGTCCCTGGATGGATGGGGAGGGAAGCAGGACGTCCTGGAACCCCAACCTCAGCGAGTCCACTGCTCAGATGATTTGAAATTAAGAGCCGTCTTAGAAAATAGCTCCCTTTCTAGTCACAGAATCAAAGCAGCTGAATCCCATTGAGGTGTACAGGGCCTCTCGGCGTGTGAAAAAAAATCCAATCTGCGCGCTACAGTTCATGGATAGTTGACTCGCTCGCTCCTCACTATGACCTGATTAGGGTTATTTAAACTTGGTCGAGGCATGCTTCGAGTTCACCATCTGCCGAGCTTGCCTCCCGAACGCCACCCAGAACCTATCGCCCATCTGGGTCGATTGGTCAGTTCACCTTTGTCCGAGGAAGTCCCACATTCACAAAATCTAGGCAGCCGAATTTCACCAGGTCTACGGCGCCTATCAGGTGTGGCGGGAGTCCCAACCCGCGCCGATTTTAGTTAGTTGTCTCGCTTGACCAAGTTTTTGATGTCATTAGGTAATTCCCACACTAATTTCCATGTCTGATGCATTCAAGTGAATGGACTTTATTCGTTTGTTTTTTTTTTCATTGTCTAGAGACTATTAGATTTTTTACGGGAGCTAATTTTAAATTGTATGGGATGCCCATTAAACCGACAATCCATCTTTCTACCCTGGTTCACTTACATGCGTTTAAATTGGTTTGGGCGGAAAATCGTGGGGGTTTGGAGATGGTTCGGGGATGCCAAACAGATAGCAATACAGTGAATGTATGTGCGATCTCCAGCTATTGTCTTTGTTCTGCAGCTCGTTCTGTGACGTCAACTGTCGATAGCCACGTCTACAGCACCCACTCCCACTCACAATCATCACCATCAACTGTCTACACCTCCTCGTACCTGTTCTCCTCATCACCGCTTTCCCTCACTCCTTCAATCTCAACAGGTCAGTTAAACCTTTGCAATTACTCTCTACGACGCCTTCACAATATCACAGAGCTGCTTATTGATTGAAAAAATCGATTTGCCACTAGGATTACTGGGTAATTATTCGTCGGGCGGAATTATCCCCAGTGACTCTGCAGCGAAAAGCGTCCCAGTCACCGAAACGCTGAAGCTGCCAGGGCTCCGCCTCTTGGCAGTTGCGCACTTTTTAGCTTGTGTAATTTGGAGCATCGTAGGATAAAACAAAAGAAGTCATCACGTTGTGGTTTCATCTAAGAAATCCAACTCCGAGACATTTCAATTGTGCATAACAATCAGCATCAGTAAACCAGGACCAACGAAGTGAGGTCTTCAGTAGGAACCAGCTGACGGGTGCGAACCTTTCTGTCCTACAAAATCAGTGGGCGTTCCAGACAGGATGAGACAACTAACTAACAACAAGACAACTAACCAAAACATGTTGCGGGGTGAGGCAACTAATTGGGAACCAGCACGCTGTAAACGGCTCGTAGCTCCTCCTTCAGGCTCATATTCAGCTATCATATTAGTGCCTTCCTTTCGTAGTTATTCACGAGTTCCCTATGCGTTACTCATATGGGACAGGCCATTTGGCACCTGTACCACCGCTGTGACCCTTCTTAGAGGAACAGGTCATCGCATAGGCTAACTTGAAACTTTTTTAGTGTTATCGCCATCTTCCCACACCATCATCAATACGGTGTCCGATATACCGGCGTCTATCAGCGCTTCTATAGACAAGACAATGGCTGATATTGAATCGCTGGTAAGTTTGTCCGTTGTTGCGAAGCCCCAGATGCAACCTAAGTGACCTTACTTTCAGCTGGACTCCGTTTACACTTCGCAAAAGTCGCAGCCGAATCTGCTTTACTACGATCAGAAGTCGTTCCAACAGCAACCTGTCCCAGGTGAGGCCGGTGACCGCTGAAACGGTTCCAGTCCGTTCCATATCCGCCTTAAAATCCGTAACCACCTGCTCATGCTTATTTCTCTTGCCAGTGAAGCAGTACGCCTTTGCCCTTCGGATCTAATCGTCTATCTTTCTCATTTAGTCGTCTGGTTAGCCCGCTTGCTATTTACCAGCAATCTTTTCATTCATTCCGGCCACATCTTCCCATTCAAGTCAATATCGCCCATAAAAGCTTAAGACGTGGCCACGGGGGAATTCTACATGCTGCTCCCAACCAAACGGGATGATTTTTCAACTGACAACGTTGCATCGTTGCTATACTTGACATCTTTCGATTTCGTTCAAACCGAGGGCGTACCCACTTGGGAAAATCCAATCCCGAATGCACGTAAGGGATTCCTTATCTAGGCCACATCGTTCTTCAGGTCCAACCTTTTCAAAGTGTTATATTTTTATATTAGCCACTAAATAAGCGAGATTTTTTGAACTGTGAATTCTTTGAGCACTTTCCTATCCTCTCTCTGCCTTCTTTTTTGTTTTTCTTGTTAACTACCCTTACCCGCGTATAGAACTATATAGCCTTTCTTGTGTGGAATTGTATCCAAAACCATCCGGGTAGACCTCTTTCAATACCTTTCACATCTTTATGGGTCCATGTAACGAGCAGTTTTGGTTGGCTTGAGCCGTAGGGCAGAGGTGGTGTAGTGGCATGTGGCGCACTATGACATACTTATTGTCCAGAGATCGAGTTCTGGATCGGTACTTGCCCAGGTCAACTGAATCTTCCGTCCCTTCTGGGTCGGTTAGTTGATCCCAGACTTAGCTGGGAGAAAGCCACTGGCTTCAACTTCGACTATCCATCGCAAGTGATTGTGTAAGCTTCAGAGGCGTTGAAATTACTTCAACGATTCTGAGTGGGAGTCAAAGGCGGGGCCCATTCCGAGTAGGGGCTCGATCGAGACCAGAAGACTTCATCCTTTGTTCTTTATGAGGGATAGGGGACAGAAGATTATTTTTCAGGTTAATACACTGCCTGAACGGTGGATGTGTGCCCATTAGGGGTACTATGTTTTGTTCGAGACTGGCTTTAGGCGTCAGGAACAAGACGGCTAGAAATCTGGGCCAAGAGGATGTGAAAAGGTCTCAGAACCCAGTAATTTGCCCAGCTTCAATTGCTCCATGGAGTCTCANGCTCGATCGAGACCAGAAGACTTCATCCTTTGTTCTTTATGAGGGATAGGGGACAGAAGATTATTTTTCAGGTTAATACACTGCCTGAACGGTGTGCCCATTAGGGGTACTATGTTTTGTTCGAGACTGGCCTTTGGCGTCAGGAACAAGACGGCTAGAAATCTGGGCCAAGTGGATGTGAAAAGGTCTCAGAACCCAGTAATTTGCCCAGCTTCAATTGCTCCATGGAGTCTCAGAAAGGTTTTTCGGGCTTTAGGAAGGTCGAGCGAACCCTAAGCCGCTTATTGAATTACCAGAATCAGATTTCTAAGGATTGAACAGGTTGGAAAAAATTGCGTGGGACCGCCTGATGTGTCCTTTTCCCAAGTTCCACTCAAAATCTGTTGCCTATCATAAAGGACCATTCAGTCATACTCCGAGAAAGTTATGAATCACACCCATGGGATGTTTCCTTGAAGAGGAGCAACTCTTAAGCAGTCTTTGTATCTAACTAGTGGCAGTGCACGACAAACTTTATGGGGCTCCCCGAAATTCCTTTCTTCGACCCAACTGACGCTCTCACTAATGAATTCGATAAACTGAATTTCGGTCCATGTACTTTTTTCTGTGCCCTCTCAAAGAGAGCGACTTCTCCTCGTCGATTCGCTTTTAAGACTTCAATTTTCATCGGAAATTACGGTCCTCTAGAGTGGACCCTGATCCATTTTTCCGACGATTATAAAAAGTGTTCGATATGGTTGCCCATCGTCTCCAGATTATTCCGTTGGAGTAACTACTTTGTAAGTTTTTTTTTAAACGAAATCGTTTTAGTATCGACATCGGCTGGTGTTACGACGTCGACGCCGACAACGACGACAGCCGATGAAATCGCCACAACCTCCACGGCCACCTCAGATTCTTCGTTAACAGCCTTTTCACTATCCAGGCCACTTGGCAGTACATTGGAATCCGTCATGGCTCATCCAGAAACGATGGATCACGATATTTCGCCCAGGTAAGTCGTCAGGGATTTTTCGCAAAAGCGGGTTTTCGACGAAGTGAACCGTTCCAGAGGCTTGAAACGCTCTCCTGGCATGATCATCACATCCGATGTGTTCGGTGGGGCAAAAATTCATAAGGTGGAACCGACAGAGTCGAAGACAGCGACAACGGCAACAACGACGACGGCGACCACTCGAACTGAAGTCCCTGCAGTAGATACATTCAATTCAGAACTGCCTAATACCTTCGACGAGCTGAAATCATCGTACAAATGGCTGCGGGAGATCTCAGAGGTAATATTTATTAATTATTTGTGAATTTGTAAAATGTCGCTGTAGGTCCCCAGAAATTCCAGGTCTGACTCTGGAAAGTTTCTCGTCAGGACAGTGCCAACTTCGATTTGTTTCCTTTTGACCATTTTTCAAGCAAGAGCCATGCTAGCCACTAGAGACCTTCATCCCGGTTATTTTTTGACCGCGGATCTCTTTTGGATGCTGTCGGCTATTTCTCTTTTCCAAATGTGCGCTATAGGAGGAATCGTATCACTCGTCCCTTTGAAGCTTATCCAGTGACGTGCGTTCTCAGGGGCTATTCTGGGATAGCGCTTTTTGTAGAGCCCGCTTGTCAGTGCTGTCGATAGTTGAGGAGACATTTCCAAGCCAGAGATAAGAAATATCGATATACTCCTTCCCATCTTGGAGAAATAACTTAGGGCGAAGCTGAGGGGCTTGGGGTTTTCACAGGTAACCCCCGGAACTAAATTTTCGCCTCAGAAAAACCAGTGTGACAGCTGTTGCGACAAAAAATCCATTTGAAATGAACGAATTGGGATTCGAAGTCCGACCCAAGTGTCGTCAAGGACGCCCCTAAGTGGACGTATCACAGGGTCTCGCCGAGGCAGTGCTGTTGTGTGGAATGCTTTGCATCGCAGGGATTTTGTACCCTACCCTACCTAATTACTCAACAGGGTAAAAAAACTGGTCAAATTCCCTAATTCCCATTGTCCTCGTGCAATACAGGAATGTGGAAGTTTTGGAAATGCCGTACTGCTGGAATTTTCCTGTCTTTTTTGATTTCTTTGAGACTTGGGCCTAATCAATACCAACATTTTCGTACTGTAACTCCCCAATGATCGACACTTGTGCCTTTCATACCACGATGTTTGGATGAATCAGGACTCCCTTCGGATTCGCTGCTTTGTCCATACTTTAAAACACCTCTCAACATGGAGAGTTAATGATCTTTGGTTGGCACTAGCGTTTGTGTCAGTTGCGGATCCGCCCCTTCACAGGATACGCGTCGGCATCGCCTTGGAGAAGACACTCTAATACCTCTGTTGTTGTTGTTGAGTAGTCACCCGAACAAGCGTCGGATCGCGAGAGTAATTTACTGAAAACACTTCGAAAATTTATTGAGATCAATTTTAAATATTTCCAAAAAACGTTCGGACGACTCGTCCACATTTGAATTTTATTTTTCGAGAAATTACTTAATTTTGAACTTTATTGAATTTGTTCGATGTTCCACTCAGCATTTTTCGATGATCTGGAGGGAGTTGGTCGGCATACAAAGGGTTTATGGACACAGTGGCTTTTAAACTGTCCCGAATCATAGGGTACTGCACCGCCCCCATAAGGTGAAGGTATTCGGAATGCACGGCTCATCCCCGAGGAACGATTTGCCCTTTGTTTCCTCTTTACGTCCTACTCCCGTTTAGGAGAGCAGGCTCAACCAGCTACCTTTCTTGACTCAACCAGCTACCTTTCTTCCGGCTGCCTGACATCCCTCACCAACTTTTCATGCTGAAAATCTGCCCTCGTCCTACAAACTGGGAGGAGATGGTGCATTGTCAAGTGCGCCCACTATCCACGCAAGGTTCGGGGTTCGGATCTCGGATCGTACTCTCCTGGGTGTACCCTAATGAGCCTTCCGTTCCTACGGAGTTGGTGAATTGGTACCAGACTCGTTTAGGAGGATAAAGCACCGGCTTGTTCATGGGCTGGACATCGAAGTCATTCAGGTCACATACGCCTTCATCACGCCTCTACGATTCTGAATGGAGATCGAATGGGCGCATTCCGAAAAAGGCCTTCGAGGTTCCATTACTCAAACGTCCTTTTGCCGGAATTTCCTCACGCTAGCTGTTCATTTTCAATCGCTTTCTGCTCATTGCCTTTGGTCATTAATCATTTTCAAGCCGCCCCTCCAATTGAATCGAAATCAAAAGCAACCATTGAATTGGTTCCCAGAGCAGTTTTCCCCTTTTAGATTGCAGGGCCACCCCATAAATTGTCCACAAAGGTTCAATCAATTCTCAATGACCGCGTTGGGCGTTGAAGGAGGAAGCACTTATATTGCCGTTTCTATGGTTACATGCAATTTCACCGGTTTGTATTTCATCTTCCTTCAATATTTTCGGGTGTAATTTTCCAGGAATCGGCCCTACCGTAGCCTCGTTTCCCTATCCCTCATTGTCCAAACCAAACAAAGAACAGATCTTGACGGATAGCTGCAAGATGAATGATATGGCAAAAAAACGGCTCGGTATAAAAGACACTTTTCTATGGCCATTCACCCAGTAAAGGACAGCGAGGAATAAATCCCTGAATCGTCCGGCTCTGAGAATAGGAAGAAGCTGGGAGTCATCATTTTCGGGAGGAAAAAACCAGCTTCTATTCTATTGTCTTTTTTCCTGATAGCATTTCTGAGAGGATTACGCGAGGTGGCCAATCGATGCGCCACGTAAGGGCACCCTTGTGGCATGCACTCGCCATTATCAATATGCTCGAAGTCCAATGCAGACGACGGTGAGTAGTGCTGGCTGGCTATGCCGTCCGACGAGGACGACGACGACATGGTGAATAGTCGATGATGGGCAGCTTCAACTGGTACGGCAAGGTGGGCATGTCATGGTGGTACTGGCGGCTTGAGGTAGTCCGAATAAAGCTAGAAGAGCTACTTGGACGACAGGGGATTATCAATATGCGAAGGGTGATGGCTCGCAGTGAGGGCGGAGGGAGTGCAGACGTCCGACTCCGCCCCTCCCTAGGCTCGGTCTGCCTGCTCTCCCGACCGCTGCTGCTGCTCCAGACCCACACCCGGCCGCGATAGCGTTTGAGCCTTCCATCTATCTACTCTGATTCCTGTACTTCCCCAGCATGCGCATCACCGAAAACGGTCAGTCATCTGTACACAACTATAATTGAAGTTTAGCTTTTCGTTCTTTGGTGTTTTTTCATATTTTCCTCTTCCGATGACTTCCCCCATAGCAGTCAATAGCGTTTGTTGTCTAGCCGGTTTATTTTGCTCATGTATAGATGCTAAAGGGTTTTATGGAGCGAAACCGCGATCGCATAACTTGGTTAGTAGGCAGTGGTATTGATCTCGAGCGAAAGAGAGGGGAAAAGCTGTGCCTCCTCAATAGCCGAAAGGAGAGTCTGGCGGCGCGATCTCCCCGTGCAATATTCGCAAGTGATGCCTCCAAGTCCTTGAAGTCCACAAATCATTGCATCATTAGCCGAACGCATTCAGCAGTTTTTAAGGCAGCACTCAACCAATAAAGGAAGATAGGCAATGGCCCGAATTACAGCCTAATCTAGGCCAGTTGTACTTAGGCATGGGGAGTGGAACGAGTCGAATGGGAACGCTCGTTACGATAAATATTAGAGAAAGTATTCGTTTCAGAGTTAAGGACAATCTAACTTCAATTTAATATATGTCTCGGGATAGGGTGCTTTCCCACAAGGGCGATTCTACTTTGTTGGCAACCTGGTACTTGTAATGGCCTAGCAAACTTTCCACGGCATCCATTCCAGCTAAACCGCAACAGCCAGCTGTCTACCCCCGTACATTATTCATAAGCGGGGGATATGGTGGCATATGTGAGGGCGTCAGAATGATGTCACTTGATGATTATCGTTTGTTTCAGGATGATGGCAGCTCGGTCGGTCAGGAGATGGGTCGTCGTAAATTACCATCCATTCCATCGTACTCATCATATTCGACTACACCGTCCTATCCAACACCGCAACCCGTTGGAACCTCAACCTATATTTCGGCTCCACCGTCAAGCAGTACTGCTCTGATTATGCCACCACAATCTATGTCACCGTTGGCCGTGCAGACGGATTCATCACTAAAACGTCCAACGCCTTCTGTTCGTTCACAAACCTCTCCTGCTCCCGTTTACATCAACGCCAGCGCTCCTATTCCAACTACCTCATCAAGCTATTCTATATTCGGCGTCAGCTCTACCTGTACTCAAACAGCTCTTCCTCCTGAAAAACTGCCAAATGGCCATCTGCCCCCTGATTATTCACGTCCTTCGTCTGTTGCTAGTACTTCTACTCTTGCTCGATCCATTGATCCTGCCATTATTCCTGGTGCTTCATTCCAATCCACTGCCAAGTCGAAAACTGCTCTTCGACAACCCGTTTCTGTCGCCAGGACCAAACCATCTCATGTCCCAAAAATTCCTAATACACTTGCTAGAGTGCTCCTTAAAAAGGAGCTTAAAGAAGTTCTATCACGTCGTCGCGAAGCCCTCGAAGCCTGTGAGATCGAGGCCAATCAGAGGCAGTACATTGTGCATAAGATGCTTGTGACTGGATTGCTGCCTGAGGCTCGTGAAGACGACACTCCGAATGTGATTCACTGTCTTCTTCCATTGGAGCTAATAAGTGGAGCTCGAGTTATTCCCAAGCCGACTCACACTGTTGCTACACAGAAGAACGACACCGACACTCGACTTTCAACATCGACACCTTCCCATGTTCAATTCAAATCTGAGCCGACTTCTACGGCTTCTGCTATTCAGTCAACTACACCCGTTCCTTCTGCTCGCTACCAATTTTTGCCATCCACCTCACTTCGAGCTCAACTTGACGTCGAAAGGAAACCTCGACTCAAGGACTTCAGCAGAGCGAGGACCGTCGAAACACAGACTGAGCAAATCTCCTCTGCTGACTATACCCTTGGCTCCCATCTGACAAAGCCATCGACGAGTCGAACGACAACACAACGAACTCGAAGTAATGCGAATGTGCAGACGAACGATTTACTTGAGGCGACCAAGAAATATTTCGAGGATTACGATCGACAACTGAACGAGCTGACTGAGAAAGCAAAACGAGCCCAACGTCGCCAGTTTGAATTCCACGATGACGATCCGTTGAGTCGAGAGACGAGGCGACTGCAGTTGATGGATGAGCTGGCTCGACGTCGAGAACGAATGCTTGCTAGCGCCGACCTACCATCGGAGACGATGCCCTATCGTGCCTATCATTCACAACTTGCCCTCGATTCCTCTGATTATTCATCGCTAGTACCACACTATGGATCTCTGCCTCGGATCGACTATCCGTCTCGAAGTAGGCGGTCTCCGCTTACTCGTGATTTTACTGTTCGTCAACAACCAACAACATCCAATTATGGCTACAACTATGGCTCGTTACCACGGAATTATGAGCGATGTCTTGGACAACAGTTCAACCCGATCCAGGTGGACTATGAACAATCGTTTGGAGCTCGACCCATGGATCCTCCCGGCTCCATGTCACGATCCATGTTCGACCTACACTCGGACAACATCATCGATCCACGATATCGCTTGCCACCCTCCAACATCCGCTCATTGAACTATTTGGACCAGCTGGGAGTGGACAGTAGGGATCCGCTAGCTTATTCATCGTCGTTCAGAACTGATCCGTACATGACTGGCAGATCGTATGCTGCTGACACCAGCAACCTTCCATCAACGTTTGCACCACAACAGAACGATATGATCTCTCGATATGCCAACTATCTGAACAATGAATTCCAGACTGGTCTCCTGAGTCAAGTTGATACGTCCAAGCCCTTATATGCTCCTCTATCTGCACCAATTCGATATGATGCACCACTGAGTGATCCGTACCCGGCTATGCCATCTACGACCGGCTTGCCGTCGTACCCTTATTCGGAACCGGCCACACTACCGGCCTACCTACCGTATGGAACTCCTCAAGTGTACAGCAGAAACGAGAATAACTACGGTGCTCGTCCTCCAAATTATCCACTTGATTATGGTAATGTGGATCGTCAACGGTTATTGCAAGCTGCTCAGATGCCACCGCCACCACCAGTTGAGGATCCGTACGCGCCGGTGCTATCAGGCGGTTCATATGATCAACAACGATTATCACAAGTTCCATCTGCTTACTACTCATCACAATATCCGATGATGCCATCCCGTTCGAGTTATCCGCCCACGTTGTCTTCATCGGTACCTACCGGTTATGTAGGACAAACACCAGCTCGGACATGGTCCGGAAACATCGACACATCGGCATACGATGCCCGATTTCCTCGAGAGGATGCTCTGTCACGGATATATGCGACCGCTGGAAGACGTCGACCTACAGGTATGACGACGTTCGACGCTGACGACGCTCCCAGTCCTTCGTTTCTTGTTGATGGCCGATGAGCTGCCGCCTTTTTTTCTTTCTTAACTCATTCAATCATTCACTGCTGCCATTCTTTTATGTGATGATGCATGTTGAACAGTGCACATTTAACTTATTGATAGAGATCTATTATGAATAAATTGTACGAAACACACATGTGAGTCTATCAAGAGTATTGGTTAGGGAAAGTGTTGAGTTCCAACGGATTTCTGAGAAGTCCAGGTGTTCAGATGTGCAGGTGAAGGTAGTAAACTGGTAATTCGAAGTACTTTCACTTAATACTCAAAGTGCAGTCACACGATTTTTAGTTGGAGTCGTTCTAGTGAGTGCATGTGTCTGTGTCTGGGCATATTGGGTGCTCTCGCGTTCTGTGCACAGAGAGGACACTCGTCGTTGTTTTGGGGCGGCGGTCAATAGGATGCCGCGAGAGCGGACGACGTCGACAACGACGACGACGCCGACGACGACGATGAAAAGAGCTTGAGGTGGAAGAGAAGCTGGAGACGAGAGGTTTAGAATTGCTGCCGAGAGGCAGCACGATGTCGTCCGACGCACATACACACACACATATATAGACACACACACGCACATACACATGCACACATGAGAAGAGGTAGCGACTGGCTAGGCTGGGAAGCGAGAATCGATCTGCTGAAGTGGAACCGTGCAACGACGACGACGACGACGACGGCGACGACGATGGCGACGATGTGGTCTTTCAGCTGTCTGGCTCGCCCCGGCCACTTCGGAAATCGGTCCGCCGCCAGCTCCGGCACTTCAGGCACTCACCTGCTGCGTTTCATCCGGAACTCGTTTATCGTCGTTCTCTTTGTTTAGGGCGTTTCCTCTTGGCCCATAGGCCTTCCTTTGGTTCAGTTCATCTTGCATGTGCACTGTTCACAAGTATCGTCACCTACCTGTACTAGTATTAACTAAACTACTTATAAGCCCTTTCTAACAATGTCCTATTCAGAATCGCACAGACGAAAGCACTTGTATAGCGTAGAAAAGACCTCTTCTGAATATCCGGGACCAGTTAAGAAGCCAGTCGAGGTTTGTGCCAAGGCAGGAAATTGTAGTTTTGTAGTAGTAGTAGTTACTGGAAAAGCTTGTTCTGATCCTGTTTCCTTTTGAGGACACATATCGTCATCGTCCGGATGCGCTCGATTGCACGTCATCGTCCACCATCAAACGTATCCTTCTTACACGACGCTATAAGGACCATAATATCTATAATGGTAAATAATTTACAGGACTTACCGTACCTCTAGAGTAGTAAACAGTCCAAAAAACGTTTGCTTCCAGATCTGGGTATACGGGTTGTTGGTGGAAAACGAATGCCAAGTGGAGAATTGGGTGCGTTCGTATCGGCCGTCAATCAGGCCAAGTATAATCAGATTCTTGGAGAAGTTAAAGAAGGTAATCGTTTCAAACTTCAAAGTAATTGAGGTAGTCAAAGGGCCTCAAAAAGTAGATTCAAATAGAAATTTCCTTTTGTGGTAAAACTCTACCCATCTACTTTCAGGTGATCAAGTTCTCGAATGGAATGGTGTGCTGTTGAATGGGAAAACGTTCGAGGAAGTGGAAAGAATTGTGAATTCCAGCAGTGGTGAAGTCGAAATCATACTGAAATCGTGAGTACTACTGAGTACTGCCCCGAGTCCGAGCGAAATTCCCAGAACTTTCTGATAATCGCTGATTCAGGGAAGGAGAGAAGTCTCAACGTATCTCCAACCTACGGAAGTACTGTTCACCTCGAGATCCACAACGTTGCTCCAATGTGACTGACTCGTCGCAGAAGATTCTGAGGATCAAAGGTATCGATTGGCCCAAGGCCAGTTAGAAATACTTTTGTTTGTTTCTGACAACATCGGTACTTTCAGATGCTTCCCCAGATCGAGCACCTCCAGTTCCGATTCATCGTGGGAACGGTAGCGAGCCAGTGAGCTACGGTCGCCAGAATCCATCCAATCGCATCTATGACAATGTTGATAGCACTGATATAGCCGACGATGTTTGGCAGAACAAGCCCCAGGTACACTACCCGGCTTAATAATAATTGCTAATAATGGTCGGTTATTGATAATAATTAGTGATAATTATTACTATAATATTAGTAAAAATCACCAGTGAACCTAGCACTCCTTCCCAGTGGGCGGAGGTGGGGTAATGGCAAGCGGCTCGCCACCTCATGTGTGGTCCGGGAACCAATCCAGGATGCATAGATTAAAGCATGTTGCCAATCAGTTCCCAATACACTGATTTCCCAATTCTTTCCAATAATTCCCAATAGCTCCCAGCACATTTAATTCCCCCGAAGACCCATAACCAACGGACGGGTACAACAGTAATTGCTTATAGTAACCATCAATTACGGCTAATACCTTTGATGAACATCACTATCAACTCTTTATCTCTGAAACAATAGGCTCTGATAAGGTAATGCCAAATGGCTCTAGTAAACCACAAGCGGCTTATGCCATCACTGGTCTGGTAGGCAGGTCCAGGCTGGATACTTTCTAAGGCCGGGCTGATCTTCATCCCTTCTTGGACCTTTAATAAGTGCTTATATAGTAGACTTGTCAGGAAGCAACAAAGTACAGACTTATCCCACTCTAATACGATTTTAAAACGCGTTCCAATATACATATCCAACATGGGGTTGGTCAACGTCAAAATTCTATCCTTTCCACTTTCCCATTCAATAATTTCAGGACTCTCTCGGTTACCTCCAAGTGGCAGTAACGTATGATCAAGC